GTGCAGAGACTACCAGGAACTTCGGACTGTCTTAAAACACCATTAGTAGACGTTTATGTGATCATGAATTACGTGATTATCGCCCTTTACGTTGAGTAATAATTATAATAATAATAATAGTATAATAAATTGCATTTATATAATGCCTTTTCACAAAAAAGTGCTCAATGCACTGTACTACAATACAAAGAACATACAGCGCACAGCTCCTATAGTAATCCTCTCTCTCTCTCTCTCTCTCACACACACACACACACACACACACACACACACACACACACTCGCTAACACTGTTTCATAGAACAAATCGCCCAATTTGGGCACAACAACATTGGCGAAGGAACTAAAACCGTTTGGTAAAGTGTTACATTCATCAATGATTAAGGTTTTTAATTCGTCGCATTGATAGAAGAGAAAATGTGTTAAAAAGAGGAGGATATAGACTTCACAAAGTCAACGTCCGCCAAATGGATCGATTCCGGAGGCTGAAATTTGATGGTGTGGGGTGGAAAGTCAGCTCTTTATCGTGCACATTAATGGGTCCCTTTTCAAAGCAACCTCAAAGGAAGACGGTATTGTGACGAAAGTATTTGTCACCGCGTCCTTCCCTACATGGCAAGGGTGATGGAATGAGCCTACAGGACAACGCCCACCCAACTCCATGAGGCCATAATCAGTCAAAACTCCTTCCAAACTCATCAAATCAATCCTCTCGACTGGTCTGCAAGATCAACAAGCCGTAACCCAACAGAACATCTATACGATGACCTTGACTGGAGGATTAGAAACAGGCAGCACTCAGTATGAACTCGTTAGGAAATGAAGGCTGCACTTCTCAAAGAATAGCAGGGGATTCTTCAGACAACCATAAGGACATTAATTCAATCAAAGAATAGACGTGTTGTACCAGTAATTCAAGATCAAGTTGGAAGACGCCACACGCGATACTGAGCAAACTTTGATTTGGAATTTGTATAGGTCAGAGTGAATAAATTACCTCCCTTGAACAAGGAAAGACATGTCAATTCTGTTCATGTCACGTTGGCAGAAAATGAATAAAGATCGTGTGTACCAAATTTCTCTTGAATATATCAAAGAGTAAATGAGTTATTGTACTTTTAAGCTGAGTGTGACAGAACTTTTGCAATACGGTATATTATGTGATGCGTCGTGGTGGAATCAGACGTTCGTCAAAATAATGAACAAAGAAACCGACAATTATCTGGCCGGTGGGCAATTTTTTTTCTCACCCAAATTTCTGTATTTGGCTAGTCACCTTTGTGCATTAAAAACACTTATCTGTGTAGATTTTTACTAAAAAAAACTTTGAACAAAGGCACTCAAAAATTGAAATTTTCAGTTTCCAAGGACGCTCAATTTTGGGAAATCACCAAACTTTGGCGGACATTTTCTCGCTAATTTTTACCTCTCCTACCGGGCAACCCCCGCCTCCTTCAATTCCAAACATCTCCACTTCCATTCAAGATAGATATTGTGTGTGTTTTTTTGTTGTTGGCCAAACGCAAGATAAGACAAATGAAAAAGCTTTAAGAGGTTAAATAACTCTGCATGCCTAAAAATTGGCGAACGCCTTATTCCACCGCGTCATGACACATAATAAAGGTTGGCGTTAGGGAAACGCCTTTTGACGGTGGTGGCAAAAGTGGGTGTTGGCTATAAAAAGGTTGATAAGCTCCGATCTACGCCCTCCAATCCTAATTCATAATTTCCCTTGGAGTTTGAATTTTTCTTTCTCTCCTCTAGTTTCTTTGTTTCTTCTTTATTAATTTATTTATCTACTTATAGCCGAAATCCTGAAAAAATCAAACAATTTGGGTGGTTGGCGGGCTCCCTGCTGTGGTTTATTCCTGTTTTCCTATACTGTGAAACATTTATTGTCATTATCTCTCCTTCTGTTATTTTCTAAATGTTAATCTATTGTAACATCTCTAACTTTTTTGCATTTATATGACCTAATTGTGTTGCAAGTGTCGTGAAATCCTTTCTAAAACTAAAAAACAACAATAATCAAATGAATACAAAATATTAGTTACTTTTATTAGACTGGTGGGTGGTTAGCGGGTGCTCTGGTGTGGTTTGATCCGTGTGTCTATCAAACATCTATTGTCCTTATCCGTCCTCCTTTTTATGTTTGTTATGATCTTGTAACACTTCTAACCTTCCGCACTTGCATAGCCTACTTGTCTTACAAATGCCGTAAAATTCTTTAAACTGACAAAATATTAAATAATAATAATATATCCGTTAAAGTTGAGGACGCTGCTGGCCCACACCGCTCCCATATGATTTATAACGTTCTCTCTTCCAAGCAAAGCCAGCCAGATTTTCGTCTCTCGAGGAGCAAAAGCTAACACTTTGGCACAACCGGTTACATTTGCAACTTGAAAAACAAACGTGTTTGATTTGAAGGCCACAGTTGAATTCAGAGTTGCGTTTTGTCAAGAAGGTAGCTTTCTCCTCACCTTTGAAAAAGGAACCTGGTGGGCCGCGACTGAACCAAATTTTAAGCAATCGGATTGGCCTTGTGCTCTGGGTCTAACCTCTCCACCTTCATCAACCGCCGTAAACAGGTCTATCGGTCAATAATTCAGCTCTTGACCGTAAGAAGGATGTCCACAACATGATCACAGAGAGGCCAGTTTGTAAGCGGCATTGCTCCAACAGCTATCCTCTATCGTTGAAATCAATCACATTCACCTGCTACATTGGGGTGGTGTTCAATAATTTAGCGGGTCATTCAGGTGATTGCTCAGGTTCATTGATTTCCCTAACTGCTCATGTCTGAATTGGGTCTTTAGTGACGCACACGGTGATGAGTAAGCTTTTATAGTCACGAAAACTCGAAGGGCTGAACTACCGATGGATTTTGTGGTCAACTTTTGGAAATAGATAAAATAAAAAACTGTATGAGAGAAAAAATGTAGTTAAACACAATACTATAATAACGATACACAAGGACAGCGTTTTAAAAATGATTTAATAAAAGCAAAGTTATAAGACATAAATGACTACCGTTTGAAAAAGTTTTATGTAAATAATTCGCAAAGTACATAGTTATAGAAATGATTAGTATTAGTTTATAAAAAACCTTAACAATAAGGGATAGGAGTCTCTCGTGGTCTAGAGGTATGGTGTTCGCCTTTCACGCAATAGGTCCCGGGTTCGAAACCTGACAACGACTGGCAGTTTTTATTCTCTAGAATTTCCTCCTTTCACCCCCTTTCCTGTTCACTAGAAACGTTTTAACATTTGCTTTTATCTCCACTTCTAATCCCCCCCCCCTCCTCAAAATGTTTTTTTTTTCTTTTAAATCTCCACACTTGTCCATTTTCGGCCTCCTCTCTCTAATGCTGTCGTACAACAACACTCTTGATCTTAGGGTAGGCAAGATCGAACACCACCTAGCCTTCTCGGATAAAGACGACAAATCTCGGAGGTCCCATGTGCAAGTCGCCTTGAAGGTCCTAACATTAATTCTTGCCTCAACTGACTATACTCTAGTCGGGATAAAAGCACTGAGTACCTTCAAAGCCGAAAAGTGGCTGGCTACCTGAAGGTAAAGGGGAGCTAGCAAGTCGGAAAAACGGTCACAAACGCAATCAGTACAGCACGTTGAAGAAACAGCAGTTGACTACCCTTGAGATCTAGCAGGGGAACGCAAAGATGAAGAGAAGAAGATTAACGGGCACTATTATAAAATTTAATTATAAGATAGTACACATTTTGGCAGGAGAGAGCATTTTCATCAGACGACCGAAAAACTTGATTCTTTAATGTATGTTCCATGACCGGTTTCATCTCTGTTCAAAATTCAGACAATTTCTTTCCTTGCGCACTCTTTCCTTTTGACATTAATCAATTTCCTGAGGCATTTCATCTTAAAAGCAATGATCTTCCTTTTCACGTTCTTTTTGTTCAGGTGGCACGTCTGGTATTGATAAGTCCATGTTTGATGGAACATACTGTTGACAAGTTGTCCTTTTACTCCATCAGTATGTGTTTATGGGTAAAAGTGAAGACAACTGGTAGCTTATTGCATTTCTTTTTTGGGGTCCTCATTTCAATTTCTCTGTCCAGTTTCCGTCATGTCTAGGTATGCCCCCCTCCCCCGGGTATTTAAATGCCTCAACCTGTTTTAGTTGCGTCCCATCGATGGAGAAGTTCGGTGGCCCTAGGTTCCTGCTGACTGTAATTACTTGTTTTCGCAAAAGCTGAATTTTCGCCTGGTAATCTTTGTACTTTCCATTCAGGCTGTTTGTGTGTTTTTTGCACGCTGTTGAAGTTTGAATTTAAGATGTTGTGGTCATCGTCGGACAGAAGCTAATTTGTGCTGGTGTTGGCAGTATATTATAATTATTTATTTGTCTTTCTGATTAGTCTGTTCATAAATGTCATATATAGAAGCAGAGAGAGCACACATCCTTATTACCTACTGACAATACTGAGCCCCAATCAATGGACCTTTCATATGTTCTTACGCATAAGGCATATTCTTATAAAACGTCATGACTTTTTAAAGGCCAAGGTTTTGAAAATATCTACGTGACAATGATGGCAAAGTATATACGACGTTTTAATACCAAAATGGTGACGTAATCGAAGACAAAAGTAGATTATTTTTGCAAAAATAATAGCTAAATAGAATGAAAAAAACGTTATTGGTTTAAAACAATGGGAAGCTCCCCCCCCCCCCCAACCTCAAACATGGTGCCCAATAATATGGTGCCCAAAAAATAGAACATAAAAACTGTGCATGCTGAATATGAAGTAAAAAGCCCCCTCAAAATTATTAGTACGAAAAGAAATAAAAGCCCAACAAAATATGGAGACGTGGTATTTCAGAAATGTTAAAAGGGGGGGGGGGGGGGGTTTACACCTGAAGGCTATCTCGCTTACTAGGGGATCAAATTTTACCAAATTATACACATATAACAGGCACAGAGAGGATTCTTCAAATCTGCAATCATCATTGTACTCACTTTTCGATATTTCTTCTGCCTGGTCTTCTGCAAGAGTGACATTCTTCAAGCGGTTGAGTACAATAGAGATGGTCCCAGCCGAAGTCAGCTGAAAAGAACAACAACAAAAACGTAGAACATGATAAAAACAAAGCCATTGCCAGTTACAAACTTTATCACCCCCCCCCCCTCCTCCTCAAGAGCTGTGTTACTGATAGAAGTGTCTTTAGGCCATTCGAAAAGGGAAGATAGTAACATGTTCTTATGCGTAGTAGAGTTGTAAAAGGGCTGATTTATTAATGTCATGCTCATACGGTGTCGTAACAACATAAGGGGAACTGCTGGTTTTTCTTTCCTCATCATTACTATCGTCATTTTCCCCTCTACTTCTTTTGTATGTTTGTCACTTTCTTGTGAACTGCTATTTCCGGGGCGCCTTGATAGTCGAAGCAGACTTTGTGATGTTGAGGTTAGAGAGGTGGACAGTGTAAGCCTGATTCTCCGTTTGGACTTCTCTGTTGACATCCACCACTTGGCTCTCAAATGACCACATGCAGTTGCGAGCGACGTAAAACCTTACTACGAGGTGAAAGAAACTTTATCGATCTCATTACGAGAACATCGTTCACTCAGCCTTTAGAATTCTCCAAATTGCGGTCCGCTATTTGCTTATTACATACTGGGTAAACACATTTTCTTTTGAGTTCAGCACACACAGCCCTTGAACTCCTCCGTTTCTCCTCACCCCCCCCCCCCCCCCACTCAAAGAAAAAAAGAAGGAGGAAAAAGAGAAAAAACACCATTTCAAAGGAACCTTGAAAAGGTCTTAAATCTTTCGTGTTGCGACGAACACACTCATGCTCACTCACAGGGAGATACAATAGTATTTAAAAAAACGACAATAGTATTTTAAAAATACAATAGTATTTTAAAAATACAATAGTATTTTAAAAAACCCAACAAAAAAAATCAAAAAATCTTTACAACATGTTTCGCAAATATTTGTACCTGCAGTATAAGGAACCCCATAAAGCAAATGTATCAGAGTAATGGACTTGGATCACGTAATTGGATAGAAAAAACCACGTTTGTAGCGTCGCCTTCAAACAATGATTATTACGCAATGTGCGGAGAAAGATATTTTTCCCGAAATAGAATAAATAGAAAAGCATACAATGACAAGCGAGTCCGGGTGAAAGTGGCAAGTTATAGCTATTAATACTGAAATTGCAACACTAATTACTGACATTACGTATAAGTAGTGTTTTTACAACCATGATTAATACTGAAGCTCCCCCCCCCCCCCAATTGTTCCCCCTGTCTCTCTCACTCTCTCTCTCTCTCTCTCTCCTTCTTTCTCTCTCTCTCCCCCATCCCTTTCTCTATAAACAATGCTGAATCTTTAGACGTAATTACTAGATTGATAGTAATTGTTTACAGAATTCATAGATTAATATACATGTAATTATTGAATTTATAACTCCTAGTAATGAGTTTGTAACTTAATAAACTAAATTTCAAACTATGAACTGTAAATTTATAACTAGACTTACTGAATTTACAAAAAATAAATAAATGATACTACAAAACTATTAATATTGAATTCACAATATTACCGAATTTTCGCTGTAAACTGAATTAATCACTAAAATTGCGAAACTTGTCACTATAATCAGTAGATGTAAGTCTGCAATTTTTGAAAGTTATTATTAAAATCTATAAATGAAAAACTTTAATTTCTGAACTCCTAATTATAATTGGTGAATTTAAAACAATAAACACCGAATTTGTAATTATAATTACTCGACAATATCTAGTAATTGCTCAATTCCTTACAGTTATAAACGTTATTGCTGATTTCAAAATAACAATTACTGGGTGTATAACGATAATTACAGTTGCTTAATTTAAAAATATTATGACTGGATTTATAACAATAATAACAGAATTTAAAGATGTTATTGGTGTATTCATAATTATAAATACCGAAGTCATAATCTATACGGAGTTATTGCTATAATAGTTTCTGAAATTTATTGATACATTTTAATAGTACTGAATATATAACTGGGGTCAAAATTGTCCAAGACAGCCACCTTTGATAGGAAAGATTTCTTTGACAGTTTCACTATAGGCCTACTAT